ACAACTGTTACGAGTCCACTGCATGTCGATCAACCTGCATTTCGGTCACGATAGTTAGCCTCGATTGGTCGTGTCGGAAAACTATCATAATCGAGATGCAAAATGGACATACAATGAAGTGGTAGTAACAGTTGTCTTGATGGGACAATCGCGAGGCGATGAAGTCGCGTGATGTACGTCCGGCCCTTAAAGCCAGCGTCCAGGCAAATCTGGGCATACGGGGTTCTGATGTGGAAAGTGATCTTGGGGCCCTAAGTGAGACACTGCCCAAGCGGCAGCTCAAATGGTGACTCGCAATTGAGATATTCGCCTTCAAACTGAACCCCGGGATCGCATTCGCATGGATTCATGGCGCGACACGCGTAGATTCTCGCGCGAAACTGATGTGTAACGCCATGAATCCATGCGACGATCGCGGGGTCCGGGAAGGCGAATATCTCAATTGTGAGTTCACCATTTGAGTTGCCGCTTGGGGGGTGTTTTAGTTAAAGCTCCAAGATTACCCTCCATGTGAGATCCCCCATAGGCCCAGATTTGCCTGGAAGCTGCCTTCAAATCATATGAGGTGTTTATCGAAAGGCTTAGCTAAGGGAATTCCAATACTATAAACGTTAGAGGCTGAGGTACCCGAGCTTGCCTGGGCTTGCCTCCAAGAATAATGCATTAAAAAGAGGAGGAGAAGAAATTTTGTTACACCTATACCTAATCCAGTTACACTGTAGAAAAGCAAACATTCATGATCGATACATTCATTTGAGTCCAAATATTTCCGGAAACATTTGTTGCTACAATTTACTGTACTAGGGCAACTGTGACGTTACTGAGTGCTGAAACAAAACTTATAAGGACTAAGCAGTAAAAGAAACTTGCGAATGATATTTGAGCTTCCTTTTTCAACACAGCAGACATTTCCTTGCCTTCATTCATTCATCTTCACGTTTTCTTCACTTTCTACTCTTCTGAAGATTCATGAATTGCTCGTTCCTCTTACTCAGAGCTAAGGAGGACAACATTCGTCTGGGCGGTCTCTGTTCGTAAAGGTTTCAATACCATATTGCTTCTAAAGTACCGAGATTCTTCAGATGTTATATTACTTTTCTGTCAGGACGTTACTATTCTAGCATCTTTACTTCTAATGAGTGACATGATAGCTAGTGAGGAGAACTCGACTCCTCCTAGTGGCGTTATAAATCCCAAAATAACCATTGCATGCTGCAAACTTGCGTATTATATTAGGTTGGCACGAAAGTTCTTGCGTAATTCAAACAAAATTCAATAACTTTTCAAAGACTAAACCTAAATTCACAACCTTGTATGCTAAAAATATTAGAAGCCTTACGCTTCATGATGGATGTTTAGGCATTAGATTCCGTGAGCTGGACATCAAGAACGAAGCTCTCGAATATGGGGCTTCAAATTTTGCGATTTTGAGTTTGGTGGCAGAAAATCGCAGAATGCCGCTAGCTAGCTGAAAAAAATCTTTGAAATTTATTTACACAACAAAAGTTCATATGTTACTTTAAAGGGCTTTGCTCTAGCACGGTGAAGCAAAAACAAAAAATTCGTGAAATATGTCATTTTGCGGAAAAAAATCCCCTCATATCCGCAGTTTTCCGGCGAAAACACATTTTTACAATCGAGAAAACGTCGCAAGGCTCTAAATAAGCACTATGTCTAATCTCTGGTTGCAGACTGTGTTTCTGTGGAAAAATTAGAGCGATGAGGGGATTTGTCCTGTGAAATGGGAAATTTCACAAATTTTTTGTTTTCGCATTTCCATGCGAGATCAAAGCCTGCTAAAATAACGTATGGACTTTTGCTGCGTAAATAATTTTTACAGATTTTTTTCGGCTAACTACCGGTCCTCTGCGATTTTCTGCCACCGAACTCAAAATCGCAAAATTTGAAGCCCCACATTTGAGAGCTTTGTTCTCGATGGCTAGCTCATGAAATGTTGTGCTTGAATTTCCAACATGGAGCGTGAGACTTCTAATATTTTTGGCAAACAAGATTGTGAATTTAGGTTTAGTCTTTGAAAAGTTATTGAATTTTGTTTGAATTACGCAAGAACTTTCGTGCCAACCTAATATTTGTTCACGCATCTGATTGTAGTAATGGTGATGTTCAGAATCCATATTGTCAGTATATTTAGACCAATAGAATAGAAAAATTAATAGAAATTTTCTAGCATGAAGACCGACAACAAACGAAGAAGTCTTGTAATTCCTTTTCCACCCAAAAAAAACAAAGATTTCAGCTTGACCGTAAACCTTTGTATCTACCAAGCCATTAATACTCGTGTCTTCTCAAGACAGAGTATACAAAAACAGCTGATTATAACATTTGCAGTATATGAATGCCCGAGTAATTGCTGATTCATTATCGGTTTGTTCTGCAAATTTTCAGTCTACTGCATCGTATTTTTTATGTTATAAAAGATTCGCAGTAATTAGCAAGCAGTGTGAATGAGTGGAAGTTATGTATGTTATAATATGCTTACAGCTTCTTTTACTCGAGTAGATAAAGGCAGTAGGCTCCAGCGCTCTCACAGAGTCAAAATAATTTTATTTGTTTGGATCTTTGCAAGGGATATAAGCTCTTCCTTATGGTGAGCAGGTATTGTTTCTTCTTGGGAAATTTTATTATATATGAAGCAGACTTTGTATCAAAGTTTATTTGCCGTACTTATGATATGAATATGAGTATCCTATGCATTATGCATGAATCAAAACAGCTGATACATAGGCATCCAAAGGCCAACTCCACTTAGGTCTGTAATGAAATTTAGTGCCCTTTGGAGACTCACTCAGAAGCCCAGAAATGCCTTTCACCATCCTTACGATTGTAGTCGCTTTTTCCTTTTGGAACCATTTTGTATTATTTTGCCTGAAAGAAGCACTTATCGCGTCAAAATTTTGCAACTGATTTGCAAGATTTTCGGTTTTATATTCTTTTTCTTTACATGCTTTTAGGTGAGCTTTACCTTACAAAGACAGTATATTTACTGGTTTTGGTTAAAATCCAATTCAAGAAATGCGACGTTCTGTTCACGAGCAGCTTCGGCAAACAATTTAGGACCAGGGCTCGGCATGAGGTGGCTAGTTGAAAATGCAAAAAACGAAGTCCCCCTTGGCCCTAGACCATAATCCCTGAAAAATTGCCGAAAAACGAAACGTCGACCAAAAAAACGTTGCAAATTTCGTGTCTTTTGGGCCACAAAAACGAAACCCCCTTTGCCTTTTGTCCCAAAAACGATATCCAGCTTGCTTGTAAGTCACCTATGGCGAGCCCTGTTTAGGACCATAAGACATCTGTTGACTATGCCACATTTTTAAGCTGGGAAGGGCCCATACTGTAATAAGCAATGATAAGCCTCAAACCGATCAATCGATAAAATCAATAAAATGACGAGCTTTGAGTCATCACTCTTTTCTGCTACCTGAGTTTTTTTTGAACTCGAACAAACCCTGACATTTCCTTCAAAGCTCTAATCGCAAAGTCTTCGTCGAATCCTGTAATCTTACTAATTTTCTAGAATAGTTCCTCACCACCCGGAAGGACAGAAGGACAGCCATCCTTTTGAGACACTTTTCGACATGATTCGAACTATGTTAGGTTTCTATTTACTGAATTAAAGGAGAATTATGAGCTGTTTATAATATAAGTTCAATATGAAGCCATAAACGACATCTTTCGCATAATGGAATCCCAGAAGGGAGGATAAGAGGTCTGGAGGAATGCTGAAAAAATATCTTTTTGCTCTACTCAAACAAAATATGATAAAAAAAAGACTCCCCTAGTAGTGACTGACAGAGGATTCTAATATATAAAGGATCGTAAGCGCAGTTCAAAAATCAGATATCAGATAGCGGGAAACCGAGTGGGGTCCCGAAGCGAGCGCGTCTGCAGCTAGCACCTTTGAGATTACTGGTTCACTAGTCAAGTTAATTCTGCACAATAAAAGAGTGAGATGTAATCGAAATTCTTCTCCACTCTTTTTCTTTAATTTTTTAGACGAAGAGCTGTATTTTTTAATTGGAAGGACCTACATATAGCCATTCAAAAATTCAAAAAAAATTTCAAAGTCTTAATTCCAGTTATTTTATCTTGCCGTACTGGTCATAGATGTATCTAACTATCTGTTTTTGATAGAGTACAAAATCGAGAATTTTGAAAATCAAATTTGTTTATGATCATAATGCTTAGGCTTAAAGAAGAGGACTCACAGATCTACAAGATGGATATTTCTTTCTATAAAAGCTTATGAGTCTTCTTACCTTGTGTCTAAGTTAGTCTAAGGTCTTCCAGCACTAAGGTCTCTTACGCTCAACTCACTAATATCTTTACACTTTTGGAAGTGGGATGTTCACGTTTCTCACATTCATATGATGACGAAAAACCTTATTTTTGCTTTCACTAACCATCGTAACCTAAAGAAGTATACGTCAAGTTATCTACGCGATTTCGAATTAGTCAATTGGCTCAATCGAATAAAAATTAGCCTCGTCTCAATATGTGCGTTGCTCGCCTTGGTCTCTTACGTCTCAGTCTGTTCCACCAATGCTTTAGAGAGATGTAGTACGAATTGGCATATTCTGGTTTATGTTCACTAAGCGGCTGCACAATGAAGCCGTCGTTCCTGCAGCGAAATGAGAACACCCTATGAAGTCTGATGCTCATCTAATGAGTGCTAGTTTTGCTAAGGATCATATTCCTCCCACTCATTCTCATTCCCGTGTTCTCTGATGAGCCTACACTGTAACTTTCTTCTTCAAATTCATTCGCTTGCTTCAGTCTAATCATGGAATACCCATTACTCATAAGCAAGCCAACAAATATTTTTCTCTTCAAAAGCTCCTGTAAAGAGAGCTTAATTTCTAATCAGGCAACCTTCAAATGACAAGCAAAATCAGCAGCATTTTTTCTTGAACCCTACTACTTCGTCTGTCCCGACATCTTGGATGATTTCTAAAAAATTTCAACCAGTTAAAGTTTTTCAGATGATTTCTCGAGCTATGGCACCAATGACCATCTTTCTTGTTATATTGGCGACATCCTTAGCACAACAAGAGAGGAATATGGTGAGGAAAATTTTGATTTTACGGAAGAGTTTCAGCCACTTGGTCCACAATGTTTTTTTCATGGAAAATGTATCCTAGAGCGTTTGAACTTAGAAAATATTGTTTTTGCCAAGTAGTTGAAAAACGTTGGTATTTTTGCCTTACCAACCATGAGAAGAATTACTATTTACTAAGGTTCTTCGGAGAATGCAATTACAAACGTTTAGCAATTACCGAACATCTCATTAATAAGAATTTTTTATAAAAATTCCTTAGGTCAGAAAATTTGCTCATGATGTGCATACAGTAAAGGATCTCTCTGCATAAAATGTCCGTGAATTGGTCTTGCTAAAAAATTTACTTCGCTGAGGCTTTGAAAGTAATTTCAAAATAGATTATTTATATTGGAAATGCAGTGAGAGGAAGTAAAAAAACTCGAAGTAAATCAATTCAGTGAAGGAAGTAAATAAAAATAAAAAAAATAAAAAAATATGTTTCCTGTATGGCAGCTGAAGTATCTGACTATCACTTACCGAATTTCTCACCTTAAATTTACAGGGTGTGTTACCATCACGATACTCATTCTATCAGGATCGAGGATATGGTTATGCACCTCAACTGACGCTGTTCAAAACACTTGCAAGACCAGTAAGTGTGCTCTAATCATAATTTTTGAGAAACTGTGGCAGAAAACGGCGAAAGTTTTTTTTTTCAGGTTGCCAAGCGTAACAATGCAGAAGTGGTCAATCACATTCTGAAGAATTTTGGCACTTTAGATCGACTAGGTGACGTCGGAAGGTAGAAGACACACACTCACACCGCTCGCTTCCGTAAATTCACAACAAAGCAAATGACGTCTAATAGCGAGTAACCATCGACATAAAATACATAGAAATTTCCCTACTGAAGAGTTGTTGATTGCTGAGATCATCATAAGCTTATTTATACTATCCTCATGTAAGGTGCAGCTTCGTAATAAATATTGTGTACAGGTTTGCAATGGCATTGATTGTGAGTATAAACTGCTGTTTACTGTGCATTTGCGATGCCGACAGCACTTGCGCGTAAACATGACAGTGAAGCATACGGCAACTGTAGCGTTTTCGTCATAGCCATTTTATACGTTTAATTATTGCCGACACTGCGAAAACACTACTTCAATGTTCAAGCGATTGGTATTTTTTTTTCAAGCATTTTAATTTGAATTTATTAAAATTACAAAGAGTATTCTAATCTCTCACAAGTATAATCAAAGCACTTACACATTCTCGTGGCTCCTATGGACAGTCCTCAAAAATTTCATGACCCAGTCTTGGGGAAGGAGGGGGGGGGGATTTTACGAGCTCTTCAAGGCCTTATCGTTGTGATTGACAGAGGTCTAAAATATACCTAATGGAATCTTGATGCGCATTTATGTTCGGGACCTTTTGAAAATAAATTAGTATGCTTATTTTGGAAACAAAATGTCGAATGCTTTATGCAAGAGTGCAGTCGAATTGATAATTAATCGTTTATTAAAAGCATCTCGAGATCTTCGTAAAGACGATGTGGGAAAGTAAACACCACGACAAATTTGCCGAATTTAAGAATACCTTTTTAGTACGAATATGGAAAAGAATCGCACACGAAAAATTCAAGAACAAAATTTGCTGTAGGGTCGGGATACAGAATCATTTCTTACTGCAAGGAGAACTGAAAATATAACAGCGATTTCGCTGATTTTTCAATTGTCGAGTAAGGTTTGAGATTTGGTTTACTTTGATTTGGAAGAAACGTTTCGTAAGGATTAATACCACATCTAAGCTTTCAATAGAGTTCATTTAGAGCAGCATTTTATTACTGAAAGCAGTGACAGTGAAATATTAGGTTGATGCACAATTCTTGCACCAAAAAATGGAAGAAAATTATTTTAAAAATCTTAAAACGAATTAATCAACTTCCATGATGTGCTCTTTATTATACATATCAAAATTAGTATTTTATAGTACATTTTAGAAAATCTATATGAAACAAAATCGATAAGCCAATTTAGGAAAATTGGTATTCGTAACTATTTGCAAAGACATCCAATCACTACCAACTTCTTTTAGTCAAAAAGAGCATGCCATAAAAATTAGACCAGAAATAAATTTAAATTCTAGTAGACCTTTTAGCAACTTTAGTGACTAAAAATGGAAAAAGCTTTTTTTTAGTATATCTCCTATTCACCTTGTATCTTTGCCTCATGCCCTCAAGGAATTTTCGCTTAACGCCTTTAGAAAGCGCAAGATTTGTTCTCTTTACTAAGTATCAAACCAGAAGATTTCATCAAAGCTGGATGAAATAACAGAATTTTAAAAATTTGGTGCAAGAATTATGCATCAACCTAATAAAACTGCCAGTCTGATCCTACGAACTGCTCTTCAGATAGTTTACCATGGTAAGATACTGAATTTATCTGAAAGTGTACTTAAATATCATTTACAACCTCTTTCAAACTCAGTTTCTTAAGAGAATGCTTTTGCTTTATGCTTTGCTTGTCTTTCCACCAGTCTTCTAACCTGCATTTTCGCTTCAAATTTTCCCGTTTCTGTCAGCCTTCATAATACAACCACGGAGGGGTTTTCGATTTCTCTTTTTCAAGCTGTTGCGTATCATGCTACGACCTAATCGGAGATGAGGTTGTAACCTAATGCTCGGTTTCGAGCAATTCTTTATAGGTAAGAAACTGAAAAAGGGGGATACACCATCCAATGTAAAATTTAACTCATTATATGTTTCACTATTTCCAAATTTCTTCAGTCGTAACAGAAACATCCGCAGAGTTGTAAGTGATGTTTTTGCCCCATGTACACAAACATCACTTATTGGTAGAATTTATGTAACTACTTGTGAAAAGCGATTCCGAAAAAGATCTCCAAACACCTCAAACATTGATTAGGTCACAGCTAAAGCTCAGCAGGCCCCTCAAAGCTTGTAAACAATTATAAGCTCTATTGAGAAATTGTTACCATCCAACCTAGCTTTGTCTTAGCTTTCCCATCAACATTTTCAGACCCCAGTAAGGCTAATAGTTCCTTACATAGTTTAGAATACTTGCATAGATTCAGTATCTAGATCCATAATTCATACAAGTCTTGCGAATTTCGATTAAATTGTTTGTTAAATTCTTTGGTTATTACATATATCTAATTGATAAAGCTGCGAGAACAATAGCGCTGAACTTTACAAGTCCTACTTGTTACCAAACAACTAAGCTTGTCATTAAAATGCGTTTACAGATGAAACAATAAACAGAGTTTGAAAACCACAAGAAATAAAGAATTTACCGACCAAAGAATAAAAGATCTTGGACGAATAACATGAGAATTATTACTTCAAATTACAAGTTTTATCTGCATAGGTGGCAATCTGCAATACTGTAACAAATCATGCAAATTTCTACCGAAAAGAAAAAGATTTTGCTTCGGAGAATATACAGAACATTATATTTTCGAAGAGCGTGTACTCCTCACTTGCTTGATAAGTAACGAACAAGGATATGTTGAAAAACTACTGTAAGAACAAAGGTACATTAAATTTTCAACTAGGTACAGGCTAGCTGGAATATTGCTTGCATTTACTGATTGACTGTGTAAGTGCAATTTTCGCCAAAATAGCCCTTTATTACCTATCATTAACAAGAAAGATGAAGAGGTTGATCTACTACAATAGAAACATATCTTGCAAATAAGTTCTTTACTTTACTCTTAAACGTTTTTTAAAATTTTTGCTTTATCTTGAAGCTGGTGCAAGTTGAATGCGCTAATGCCGGGCACTAAATTTGACCTTCACTCCTTTTTTTTTGAATTTCCCAAATGTGCCATCAAGATACATGTCATAATTGCAGCACTGGGAAAAGAATTTCTATGGGGTTCATTTATTTCAAAAACTTCTCCATATCTCTTAAAATAATTTATCCACATTTTCAATTTGGTTTGATGCTGGTGAGTACGATCTAATAATCACGGAAGGCTTTGCTCAAGAGTTTCTTCAAATTTTTGAAACATTGTTCTTCAGTGGTGTGCTAGAAAAACTTATATTTACAAATTTGTGAGACTTCTGTTGGAGACAGTAACGCACTTCTTCTCGAATTGCTTCGCTGCAAAGTAAAAAAAAAGTTTTTTTTTCAATTTGCACGTATAGCTGGACTATTAGCAATTTAGCCATCTACTCAAAACTTTTTGGAAATTACTTCAGAAAAAGTCATTACATTCCGAAGTTATATCAATCCGTTTTTCCCTCAAGTTGGAACCGTATTGTACCTGTTTATTTCTTCGAAATTCATTGGTTTTTTTCGAAGGAAAGAGCTCCTTAGCCGAATATGGGAGAACAGTCAACATCTTCATAGCCTTTGAAGAGTTCCAACGTGAGAAAATTCACAATTACTGACTTACAGCTGAAAAATTAGATACAATACTAATTTATGAGTGTTTACGACACCTTTCACTTATTTCTTCAGTTCTAATCGTGATTTTTGCGATAAAGTAATGAGTTTCTGAGAGTGTTCCACAAGATGTCGACAATAAATTTTATTAGTCAAACGAAGAAAACAACGAAAAAACTGCTGCAAATGTTTATCACGTTTCACCATCTAGAACGCTAGCACGTGGGGCTTCAAAAAAAAAAACTGATCTTCGGGGAAACCCCCTAATACATCAATTTTGCAGTGTAATCCAAACTGATTTTTGGGGAAACCCCTTCAAACGTCAATTTTGCAGTGTGAATCTAAGATGTTGAGATATTTCTGCGTTTGTTCTATGGCCTGATAGTGAACATATCACATTTGTTACAAACTTATAATTTTAGAATCTTTTAGTGTATCAATGTATGCAGATACATCGTTGAAAAATACTGTGGTACACATATGGCACAACTTTCGGTATAGGCTTGGCCCAGATTTGCGGTACAGGCGTGGGCCAAATGAAGAAGGCGCCGAATTTCAGCGTAACGCAGCTGTGCTGATTGTCAAAATCGCTACAATCTTTTCGGAATAATCGCGCTTCGAAATTCATTCAAATCATAAATGTGGCGTGGTTTTCGTGTTCCGCAAAAGAGCAACACTTTTTTGGAAAGGTCAGCGGTTACGCTGACATTGGCTAGTGATATAGCGAATGATAACGAACCACAAATTGTTCATGTTTGATCGCCTTTGACGGACCAAACCGATCGAGATGATCGATCGGGTGCCGCTCATGGCCGTGGTCGGGTGGTTGGGACGGGTCATTGGCATTGACTTTTGGGCTCTCATCCATAAATGTGTGCTCTTTTTCATTGTATTTTTTACATTCTACTAGTTTGACATTTTTTTCTGAACTATTGTTGCTGAAAAATGTTTTCTTATTCTGCTAGTGCGCAAGAAAATCAACTAGTAACATTCATACGAGACAGCTGGTTATATTTACTGGCAATTATTGATCTTTGTTTTTTAAATTTCAATTATTCCTACTTTGGCTTTCCCTACAATCTCCAAATCAACATGACTCAGTAGACGGCTTCTTTGCGTAACAGTCTTGTGCCCAGGGAATCAAAACCTTTGTTTTACCGTAAGTTACTCCGAGGAGCTGTTATTAAATATTAGTTTATTCGACCACTACTTGGAGTATTAGATTTTTGACCATGAAAACTAAACCATGGATTGCCAATTTTCTGGTCAAAATATTAAGACTCTTACACCATATCCTGGGATTCAGTCTTTTCAATGGTTTTCTTTTATGCGTCGTCTCAAACTCGATACCACTACTTTCACTTGTTCTTTTATAATCCTTTAAAAAAATCAGATGGGAATTCAAGACACAAGTATCGCACAAAAAAGCTTTGTTAGTAATATAATTCCATAGAAAAAATTTGTATAGTGAATTTGAAATTTCGCTTTCAAAAGTATCCCGACCAGTGCAATTTTCCTCAATCGAAATGATTAGGTTTTAATCACAGCAGAATTACTAATAAATTTTCCATGATTTTTTATCTTTGACTGACGAATTTCTAAAAAATATACAATATTGAATGCCTTTTTTTATCAACTTCTATCGCTCAATACGTCAAAAAATTTCCTAAATGCACTACTAAATAACTTATATTTCGCAAACAAAATAATAAATCGAACGAAGCCGCCAAAACCGGGGAAAATAAAGATTTTTAGGGATTTTGTGCATTTATATTCGAATCTAACATCATTTTACGCAGCTCTGTTTGCCTGCACCTAGGATTTTACCTAATTTTTCTGATTTTTTAAGATTTGAACAAATTTGCTATCTATGCAAGGTTGATCCCGACGTTCTTTGTTCTTTTGCACTTATTTTCTGCTCTCGCAAGGTGAAAAGCGTTCAATGCTGTCCACTGTAGCATTCTTTCTATTCATTTTGAACATAGTTTAGTCCTACTTTTTTTGAACCCTGCTAACAATAGCTTCTATCCGCATCGATAAATCTTCACGATTCATGCTATGGTAGAACTAAAATTTCTCTACACACGTGCGAATAGAAAAATGCCAATGTGCAATGTTTTATCTCACTGCTGTAAACATGTTTGTAATTTTTTGTTACTTTGGCAATATATTCTTTTCTTATAAGACACAGTGTTATCGCTGCTAGAAATCGTAATTTCTACGCATGTCATTCTGGTCACTTATATAGTTTATTTCGCCTTTCGTTCGCATGACTTGAATTCATTAGGCTTTCTTTGCTTCGAGGAATTCTCTTGAGAGTTAAAATCATATTTTTGTAAAATTGTGAAAAGAAGTGCATCTTCTGAATTGACGTGAAGGCCATATGTAACTGCTTGAGATTTGAGGAACATATGCATAGCATAGCTGATTCTCCTTAGAATTTTTATTTCTCTAACATCAAATCTTATTTATTTGTAGGAGAGCCATTCTTTTTCAGAACAAGGGTGCGAGTTTTTATGTGTATATTTATTGGGTCATTCGCTATCTTTCCAAATTTTTATACCAACCCTCCGCAAACGTCCAAGTAACGGGTGAAAAGTGCAAACCCTTTAGGACACAGGACTCTTTTTTATCTTTAAATAGCTTGCTGAAAATTGTCATAAATATTTCTTTAAAGCTATCAAATTCCATGTTTGACATCTTAAGGCTCGTAGAAGGATAATCGTTGAACTCGCTCTTTGCATTGGAAAATTGATGTTTATTTATAACTCACTTTTGGAAGTTCCAAGTTTATGCCTGAGGTAGGCTTACCATTCGGTATTTTTATTTAAAAAATCACAAAGATTTTCTGGTGGATTCTGGAAAAGGAGAAAAAAATTCTGTGTTCCATAAGGTTCTTTCACTGTACTGCAATAAAAGTTTAACCATTTGATAGGGAATGAAAAGATGCATCGGTACCGAGAACTTCGATAAATCTTTGTTCTGCAAATTGTGGCAGCCGTTCAAAAAAAGCGAATATACTTTCGGGACAATCTAATATACAGGGTGTCCCAAAAAAATGTGCACACTGTTTGATTGTAAATAACTCTTTTGTAGTGAAATGTTTCGAGAAGCTTTAGGCACCATTTTGTAGAGCGAGGTTCAACTTAGGTTTACAGTGTAGAGCGAGTCGCCGATCTCTTATTCTTACTGTAGGAGTACGGTAGATCACTTCAAACATATGGTGTCACTGTGAAAAAAGCGGCCGTTTCAAAAATCTTCAGAAAAATGTGGAAATTTGTGTAATAGGGTTTTTATGGACCCTGAGTTCAACACCTAACTCTTTACGAGGTTGAGAAGCTTTCTGAGCGGTGTAACCGCACTTTTTAGGAACACTCAAAAAAACGTTCTGTTACTGCTTCCCTCGCATAATTTTTTAATGAAGCATTACGAAGAGTTGCGAAGTTCACATTTAGAATCAGCAGCTCTAGTTAGCCCAGTATGAGAGTTTTCAGGTTGTTTTGGTTTCTTTTTGGAACAAAATATGGCCTTTCATGGCTCAAAACTCTCTCCAAAGTTTCTACCGTAATCCTACAGTAAGAATGAGAGATCAGCGCGATCCGCTTTACACTGTAAACCTAAGTTGAACCTCGCTCTACAAAATGGTACCTAAAGCTTCTCGAAACACTTCACTACAAAAGAGTTATTTACAATCAAACAGTGTGCACATTTTTTGGGACACCCTGTATATTTATGCCAAAAGACTACCAGTAGGTGCGAGATTCCTTTTTCACCGCAAGAGTTCTTGAAAGTACAGGTGACAGCATTCTATCACTAGATAATACATTAACCCTCTTTCATAATTACTCATGTAGATTTTTGTATTTCGATTCACTAACGCAGACAATGTGCAATTACGAAGGGATTGACGACGCTACTTTATGCTGTCTGCGTACCCTCTCTCCACATTATCTTTCTCTACGACTCATAGGCATCCAAGTGCGCCACGTTGACGCAGCCTGTGCACTGCTTATCATTTGTCATTTGTCATCGTGCACTTGTCACTGCTCTATTCACTTCAAGTATTGATAGACTCAAGAAATGCCCCAGATCAGCCTGTTTGAGTGAAAAATCAGGGCTACTTTTATCAGTTTCAGATATCTAAGCACATAAAATTCGAAGGTACCCGTTTACCTCGTGTCCCTTAAGCTAGAATTACTTTGTCTGTAACGACAGAATTGTCGCATGGTTGTACAAACAGTTTACTCTGTATTCTAGAAAATGAACGGACAGTCCCAACAATACGGAATCCAGACAGATTCCATGACCCTGCAGCGATTTGTTCTCGCCGAACAGAAGATGCATCCCGAAGCTAGCGGTGACTTCACTAATCTGCTAACTTCGCTGCTTACCGCTGTCAAAGCCATCTCAAGTGCTACACAAAAAGCTGGTTTGGCTCAATTGTATGCAGGAAAAAACAATGGTTTCTCTGAACAAATGAATTAATAGATATTATTGTTTTAGGTATGGTATTGCTGGTCAAACAAATGTGCAAGGTGAAGAGGTGAAGAAATTGGATGTGCTCTCCAATGAGCTGATGATTAACATGCTAAAATCTAGCTACACTACATGTATGCTGGTTTCTGAGGAGAACGAAGATCTGATTGAGGTAAGGAAAAACTCTCGATATCATTTTTCCAAACCTTAGGTTGTGTTCGGAGTCGGCCGTGCCAGCGCAGTGCCTGCACGTTCTAGCGCCGTGCTAGCGCACTGTGTCGAAAGTCGATCACTCGATACGAGGCGACTCCGTACAGCTTTTGGCACGGCGGTGGTACGGCTTTGGTAAAGCGCTTGCACTTACTTAGGCAACCTCGAACAGCCTCAGTGAAAAAAAACTTTTTCGCTACTCTACTTTATAGTACAATTTTCTTGCAGAAAAGTTACCACATTTATGAAAATTTAGTTGGTTGGTTATCGAGAATTGTTGGTTATCGAGAATATTCGAAAATATAAAATGCTTAAGGTGGAAAAAAGCAAACGCGGAAATTACATCGTGACTTTTGATCCACTCGATGGTTCTTCTAATATCGACTGCTTGGTATCAATCGGGACAATTTTTGGCATCTATAGGAAGGTGAACTCAATCATTTCTGCTTTCAAACGTGTCCAATTCCGCCTTGAAGAAGACTTTTTCCTTATTACCTACACTTAAGAAATTCCTTTTCCTAACTTCACATCATCTTCTCCTTGACCTTGAACGCAAAAGTAACGATTGAATGACAGTCATTCATAAAAACTTCAGGTTAGCGATGGTGATGTCAAGTTGGCTGATGTGCTACGTCCTGGAAAAGAAATGGTCGCTGCCGGCTATGCACTCTATGGATCAGCTACGATGGTGGTTTTGACGACCGGCAATGGAGTAAACGGATTCACACTTGATCCTGTAAGTAAATTACGAAGGTGCGGGCCGTTTTGCACGACCAGTCAGGAGATTTCAACGCAGGAACGCAGTATACGCAACACATCCACTGTAAATTTTAGAAAGGCAACATCCAGAGTTGCCCGTGTGCTAGCGCTGTGCCAGCGCAGTGCCGGAACCAACGCGGATGCGCTCATCGATTAATGTTCCGGCACAGTGCTAGCACGACAATGGAACGGCGCTGGCGCGCGCAACTCTAGGCACAGCCTAAGCAGAGTGCGAGAGTTGCGCTCATCCAGCAAACTGTCTTCGGTTTTCGTGCAATACGGTCATTTTTCATCTCCCATCGCATTCTGCTTTCCTAAAAGTTCTCTATTTTTAGACCATTGGAGAATTTGTACTCACGCACCCACAGATGAAATGCAAAAGTAAAGGAGCCGTCTACTCAATCAATGAGGGTTATGCATCCGGATGGACTAAAGGAATTACTGAATATATCCGCACTAGAAAGTTCCCTGAACCTGGTAAAAAGGTATGTATAGTCTATGGTACATGTTCCATAAAGTAATAGATATGACGCACCATTAGTGCCCTTGCAATAGCGGCGAAATTTGCGTGTGGGCAAATGACCATAGAGCGCGAAATCTTGAAGAGTGCGCAGGCCATTCCGCACACGCAGATTGTCAGCATTAGAAGGGGAAATCGTTTACGCGCAAGCGCTGTCGGCACCGCAGGGACACTATAATCTACAACGACTGCGACTTTACTTGAATAAAAGGTTAAAAATCATTTACATGCATATACTTTCAGTCGATGGGTCAAAGATACGTTGGCTCGATGGTTGCAGATGTTCATCGTACCCTACTCAACGGTGGTATCTTCCTTTACCCTGCAACCGATAAATCACCCAATGGAAAGGTGACTAGGTTTATGGTCCGAAATTTCTTGAGACTTAACTAGAGCGTTACAGTTACGTCTTTTGTACGAATGCAATCCTATGGCAATGGTTCTGACACAGGCTGGTGGAATGGCTACAACGGGAAAAATGGACATTTTGGACATCGTGCCTAAAAAGGTACGTTATCTTTTTCGTTGTCAGTAACACAATGTAGGCAAGCACTGTTAAAAGTTCACCATTCTATCGCGTGTGGCGTGTACTTGTTACAAAGGCAAGATCTAGACTTGCCCACGTGCCGGTGCCGTGCCTGCATCGTTCCAACGCCGCGTCAGCGCCATGAGCGCCGTACCAACCACGTAGACGCGTCCCGAATAGATCGATCGACATCGTGGCACGGCGCTGGAACGGCGCTGGCACGCAGGCAGCTCTTAAGTTGCCTTGAGAATAAAATGTTGAATGGTTTATTACGAGGAGAAAGTTTTGCTGTCGACTAGAGAACTATGTACGTGATAATTTGTAGATCAACTCTATTTTCTTCAGAATACTAGTCAAAGACTATTAGGTATAAGATACGGTACTTATCATGTAGTCCATGTCATCCTGAGCAAACAAGAAAAAGCAAATTATCTGCGTTTTCAAAAAAAACATTTCAAAATTGTCGTTAGCCTCTCAATGGATCCAATTCAGATCCATGAACGTGCTCCAATAATACTTGGTTCAAAGGAGGATGTCGAGGAGGCAATGGAATACATCAAAAAATATGATTCATAAAACTGGTCTAGGTTCTCAACTTTCATTTTCAACGGATAAAATTATTTATTGTCGATAAATAATACACAGAACATCTTCAAATCTCTCTTATTTTGTAAAACAAACTAATGAGCACAACATTGAGCAAAATCGAACGAGTCACAACCTGTGAAATTACGGTATTAGAGGCACAACAGAGTTAGCCGAGCTAATTTGACTAGATTCTCGAGGAAATGAGTAGGGATCGGTATCTTCATCGCTTGTGTTATTAGTAGGTGGCGGCTCCTTGTCGCGAGGTGTTCGATCACTTTTTAGAAGATCTTCAACTCCATCTAGCCAGTATGTTAGCAACGTTCCGATGCCCTAAGTTCGATATTTTTTTGGATGAAGTCGCCATGTAGAAATTCATAAAACGCACATCTATTTTTACACTTCCTCGCGAACTGCATTTGAACTCCGGAAATCGTGCGGATAGCATTTGATGACTTTTCAGAGTCATCTGAATTTTGTCGGGTATGCCAGAATTCTCCATTTTCGCCGCTATTGTAACCTGAATTGTCAACAATAGAGAAAATCTCATGTAGAAAAAGCAATTTCCGTGGCGAGTGGCTAGTACCGTACACTTACCGTAGGACCAAATACTGAATAGCGAGGTGCGCGAATTCCTACAACTCCTGTGAATACAGGTCCAGTGTTGAAACCCCAACGGCAGTGAAGATATTGGCCTGGTCGATGGGGGATCATAAAGTCGTATAGAAACTAAAAACAATGAAATTAAATCGTATTAATCATACTGAAATCATCATTTTTTTCTTTAATTAGACTAATGCAATTATAATGCTCAATTTATCTTTTCGAATACAAGGACTAATTTTTCTACCGTAAGTTGAAATGAAATTTTCACTGAGATTATGGATCAGTTCATATCGAGAAAGAAACATGTACAGATACCGCCTTTTTCGTATTTCGTCAGTATCAATACCTGATTTTCAAAATTTGCCCCCCCCCTCTTCTCCCCTGAGAATGGGTACGAATCTTTTAAGTAACCTGTATGAGTTACAAAATGTGCATGCTTGCAACTACTCTTGAGAAATCAAAAAAAATTCAAAGATAAAATCCGAAAAAGCTTCCTTAATAATTTTTCGAGGTGTGCTTGCTGCCACGCACCCTAGAAAATCTCATGTGTCAATCTTGCAAAAATTTAAAAAGCATCTTGAAAATGTTTTGAAAGGTGTGGCTGACGTTACCTCCCTTTATTGAAAAAAATTTTTGCGGTCCCCTATTTTTTAGAAACAAAAATTTCGCAACTGCCACAGCAGTAAAGGCTACTGCAGAACGAAGGCGTAGAAGCGGTATTAGTTGAACGGGCGCGAACGAGGAGCGCGCGTATCCTCACTGTTGTAAATCCTGCGTCTCATGCGCTCCGCGGCTAATATAAAACCGCGTTCGCGCCCAAAGATATAGTGCCTTCGTCATGCGGCAGCCTATATATCTTTTTGCTTTGAATTCTTCTCGAAAAAGTTTCTTCTCTTCCAAAACTCAGTAAATTCAATAGAAATTGCTCATAGTGAGTCATACCTCTCTTTGCAAAAGTGCAATTGTTGCGATGTTCGAAACATGCTCGGTCTTGCTAGGATTTGGAACTCCAGAAGCAACACAATATGCATCACCGATAGTCTCCATCTGTAATAAACTCTGAATTTTTATTCTTTTCGATCATGTAATGGTATCCAAACCTTGTAACCATTGTGGACACTTATGATGTGATCGAATTTCTGGAACATTCCACTTAAAAGTGCCACCACCTGAAAAAACTCGCATTGCAAGAATTTTGACCCTAGCACCGAAAATAGGGCTAGTTCACCTCCATGGGTTCTGATTCGGAACAAAGGGATGTGAATCCGACAATGTCAGAATATAAGATCGAAGCAGATTTGTAATTTTTCGCATCAACTCGTCGTCCCACTTTGAGCTCTTCGGCTACAGATCTGGAACAAAGAAAACTTTCAGCATTGTTATATAAAGCAATATATACCGGCGCAAATCAAGGTGATCCAAAATGAAATAAGAAATATAAATATCTACTTACTTCGGCAATAATTCAGACAGAAGCTCATCAGATTTCTTCTGCGCTTCTTCCAGCAACCCCGTACGTCGTTTCACAAGCTCCTCAAGTCCATTCGTGTACTCTTCCATATTCTTTATCATTTGATCCACAAGAGATCCGGACCTAAGAATCGATCATGAGAAATTTGGGAGAGGGGTGTTACTCTACGCGAGGTTGGAAAGTTTAGTCTTCAGATCCGCAACGTAGAGTTTTCCCGCTATTTTGCTTTTCATTGTGAGCTGAACCCAAAATTCTGTCCACAGCTCTCACGTAATAACGGGAGATTGCTTTTCTGACCATGAAAATATGTAGAATTGGCGTGTTTGGTGGTACTTTTGAAGAGCGTTGTTGGTGGAATTATCAGCCAATCACCGTCAAGATGAGCTGGGACAATCGGTCATCGATTTCATGCGCCAGCCAATCGCTGCTCAGATTGACAGGCAAACACGCCGTTCCGCAAATTCCCGTGGATTAATGTGGCTTTTTTATTGCTTTTTTCAAGCTGTAGATTTATTACATTCAGAAGATTCAAAATATGGAAAAAAAGGCTCAAAATCTAAGGGGACATTTTCGAAGAGTATAAGTTTGCACTCTACTCGAAATTGTAATATTTGGGAACTTCTTAGACAGCAGATAAACCGCAAACAATTACAAATCACAAGGTTCACCAAAAAGATGTGCGGCGAGCAGAAGCTGTGGTTAGGACATTATACAGGGTGTCCCATAAGTAAGTACACACTTTTCAATCGTTAATATCTTTCTTCCCATTGTGTCTTTCCTGGCCATTTAAGTACCATTCTGTAGAGAAGGCTTCAACTTAAATTTGCGGTATTGAGCGAATCACCGACCGGTCTTCATTACTGTAGGGTAACTGTAGAATCTTCGACAAGGATTTCAGGCCATTGGAAGCCGTATTCTGCCTCGGAACAAAACCAAACAAGTTAAAACTCCTATACTAAGGTAAAGGTAGTTGCTGATTTCAAATATGAAATTTCCACTTTACTGTGATGCTTCTTTCTAAAGTTATCCCAGGTAAACCGTAATATTCAAATTCTCAACATTTGTCAGAAATGATATTACACCGTCAAAAAGGCTGAAAACACTCATGGAAAGTTGTGTAGTGGAATCAGCGTGCGCGAAAACCCTAGTACACTATTTTTCAGATTTTTTGAAAAAAAATTTGTTAGATGGCATATTTCACAATAGTTCTACTTGCTGGAAGTTCTTACCGTAATCCCACAGTGATGAAGAACGGTCGGTGATTCGCTCAATACTGTAAATCTAAGTTGAAGCCTTCTCTACAGAATGGTACTTAAACGGCAAAAAAGACTTATTGGGAAGAGAGATACTGGCGATTGAAAAGTGTGTACTTACTTTTGGGACACCCTGTATTTCAATTTTTTTCTTTGATTCGCCACCTCAGGACTCCATCTGAATGCATGAACTTACATTTTTAACGTTGCATCTGTAATCTTTCTTGCTTGCGTAACATCAGGTCGAGTATTCTGAAAATCAAGATTAGTCCTAATTAAACAGTTTACCATCAATTAGACGAACCGCTCCTTCCCAGCACTTTTGAATGAGTGCGCGAAGATCCGCGTGAATTTCACGGTCTTCGGGTATGGATGGTGGATTAGCTCGTAGTGTATCATCAGCCTTTTCACATATTAGCTCATCTTCACCCGCTAAAAAGCTTGGTCAATTGCATCGTTCAAGTTAAAATTATATTAAAACATGTGGAAATCGTCTAGACTAGTAATTATTATTGTTTTGTAAATTGTTAGCAGACATCGTTTATATTCGACACTGTTTATATAAGCTGTGGTGAACTTATTAAAACTATTTAAATGTTCAGGATAACTAATTAGATGGATCTAGGCCTATATTCTTTCGAGGTTCTGGCTTTTTTAGAGAAGCTGGGAGAAAGAAACAAAACAATTTGTAAGTTTTTGTGAACGTTTACAAGAAAGAAAGCTCTACAACGTTTGCTCTTGACTCCAATCTAGGATTCGTCTAGATAAATAAGAGAGGACACTATCTTAGTCAGCACTTCTTTGATATTTTTAACAAGGAAAACCCATTGAAAACAATTCAGTGAGGTTGGGAATGTTTTATCTGTAAATTTTTTTACTATACTTTTTTCTTCATGATTACACTAAAATTTTGTAGTAATATGATTTTTATGAGCTGTTTTCAATATTTTCTGTTTGTATCCGATTTGCTTACAATCATAGTAGTCTTCGAGATCAACGTATTTCCGTCGGAAAAGTATCTCGGACAGGATGGTGCCGAATGACCACATATCTCCAGCCTTAATACAAATCTATTGACAAAGTAGGCCTATCTTTTGCTCACAAACCTTTCCTATGACATTCGTGAGATTGAGGTTATCGGATTTGTTTGGGTAACTGTGCGATCGAAGTTCGGTTCGAATTTCGGGAGCAATATAGTGTAGATCTGAGAATAAATAGTAATATCTGGCTCGGACGAGTTTACCATTTACCTGCATTTGGAATGAGGGGACGTCCATCTTCAGTGCCTATAACTCCAGCATTCTTCATGCGAAAAAGCATTCTGGACAAGCCAAAACCAGAAATCTGAAAGAGACGCATTCCGCACCTTGTTGATTTTGAATCGCATGTAACTTGTATATTCCACATTGGGTAGAGGTACGAACGCCTCAATTAGGCGCCTCTTCTGCGGGCTGTAGTCCTTTCGTCTTACTGTTGTACATCGTGTTGGGACCAGTAGTCCGCGGAGGCGGTGTCAAATTGAGGCGTTCGTTCCTCCATCCTTCCACATTTATTCTCTCATGGGGAACTTTTGCGGTTATTTTCGAAGATTTTTCAAACTTTAAAATAAGCATCATGATGACTTGTCAAAACATGGTAACCACACATTGAAAATTTTTTTGATACTATGATTACCTTCAAAATCCAATGTGAGTCGATTAGACAGTGTCCCGTTGTCAATGCACCATGATAGCCTATAGAAGAGTTGTGTATGTAGTCCAAGCCCTAAACATTTGTATGATTATAACCAAATCAGTTGAGTGTAAAACTAATTTGAGATTTTTTCAAATTGTAGACATCGAAAACATTGATAAGTAAATTTCGTAAAGCCTTCTTCAGCTATTAAGATATACAGCATTAACAAAATTGCTTTGGGGTTAGTTGGAATACATATGATAATCAAATTCTCTTCTTATCTAGTCGATTGGTGACGAAGGCAGTAACCAGATGAACCAACGTTTTACGTCTGGCTAATTCGTCTAGCTAAGTAAAGTGGAAATAACTGTTACCTTTAGAATATCCCTAACAAACGCTCCTCGAAAATTGTTCTCAAATGTGGCTCTCTCGTCCTTTTTCCCAAAGATCTGCTCGGCGAGTGATCCGCTGTAAAAACAAGATGTTTTAGTGAATTGTTTGTTTCGACTAAATTTCAGTTCTCACCGAAAACAGTGAGTCCACAAAACATACAAATGTGCGCTGTCGTAAGAAAGTCCAATGAATGGATTGATATTTTCGTGATTGGAGTGCTTTATCTGCAAAACAAATCATTTCCCAAGAGAATGACTTACATCCATAAACTCAGAAGAAAACGTGCTATAAAGATAATTTGATAATAGCTTACTTTGAGCAATAGATCTACATCTTGCTTGAAGAACACTAAACGCTCTTTTAGACTAATTGTCTCTACCAGAACATAAGATTGATTTATTGTCGCCAATTGTCGAGTTCGCAGAAAGTCCCGCATTTTCACCTGAAAAGTGATGTTTTTTGAGCAGATAAGAGTAGAAAGAAAGATTGATCTACAGTTTAATAGGTCTGACGGTTGATAATGGAGTGTCAGTAACGACAACCTTTGCGCGAAAACAAACCCGATGCTAGTGAAATGCCGCTGGCTTGCTTGCGACAAGCGCGTAAAAAATGCCATAGACAACACATTGTTCATTTACGCGCAAATGTTGTTGGCAACGTAAGACCGCTATACAAACCGTTAAATTAAGAGTATACCTTTGTTTCCATATGCTCGTTTAAGCTCAGAATGGACAACTGCTGGCTCTGAAAAATTATTTCTTTGAGTTTTATTCTTTTGAAAACACAAAAATCTCACCCCATGTGTTGAGATATCTAAATCAATAAACTTCAAAGATGGATATGGTATGGCCCAAGGCATTTGCATAGATTCTATATGCTTGCTGCAATAAGAAAGTCTATATGGCAATATGGAAGCCCTTTTTACAGAAAGTTTTGAAGAAAACTAACATTTTACGCAAACTGACAAACAATCCGATACATAATGCGACTGCTGCCATTACGATGAAGATTACAAAAATGGTCCTGAAAAGAAATATTGGGTTGATTCATAATTAATGCACGTTTTCTATACTTAAACTTTCAACCGAGATAATTCTTTTTTGAAAAGACATTTCTGGGCGTAATAAAAACTATTGTAACCATCAGAACAGTGACTATAAAAAAGATACTTTTGCGTGACTGTATCTATCATAAGAAAGATTTTCTGGTCTGAAGATTGCCAACAACTTTTTTCAGAAGCCTCTACTTTGAGAGAGCATAACCTATGTTGAAATTAAGTAGGATAAAGCAGACTGCTCATCGTGTAGCCAAGGGTCTCTTGAGCAGTAATGCCAAGCTTGGATTTTATGGAAAATTTTTGAAAGAAAATATCGCGAAAAAGTCGAAAGTACTCACTTTTTTCTGGCATCTCGTCGAGTTCAAAAATCGGTCATTTTTGAATTATTTCATTTTTCTCCGCTGGAAAGTGAGAAAACCCTAGCGCTTTTCTACCATCGAATGTGTCGCGGATTCGCGACTTCCTTCAAAGGTCGCCGCCCTCCGCCTCGCAAAGGGTCCCAAAACGCCGTCCTCGCGCTGTCCCGCCTCTCACCTCTCTTACCTTCGCAGCGTTTAAATAAGTCACGTAGTCATTCTTCGCAGCTGCCGTCACAGTGAGCGGTCGGGTTTCCAATTCGTCTCAACTATCGATCGATCCAGCGCTACCCCAACTCTCGCGTGCTTCCATCTACGCCACAGAGGACTGGCTCCCACGCTACGAGGTAACCCCGAGCGCGATCGCACCTGGCACACGCCGGCGACACCGCCTCGGGGGGTTTCCGTTATTGCCGGCCCCTAGGTAACATCTGGCTGGTTGTTGCTCATCCTGTATGTTTGAGTGTAGGGATTTTATTGCGGATAAATGGTGGGCACTTTGCAGGTGTGATGTGTAGTGGAGCGGTGGCCACAGCACGACTGTGGCTCCGTTTATATTTCTGTCATTTGTGGTTATGTGTATTGCGTAATCATGCCTAGAGGGTAAGATTCGTAGGAAGGCTGGCACAATACTAGTTAAGTGCCACGGTTATGCATACGCGCCCCAATGGCCGATGGCTGGAGGCAGCCACGTCGCAGGTGTCGAGTCGCTACTAAGCAGGCTGGTGGCAAGGGCCCCTAAGAGCGTAAGGAGTACCCACGTGGCAGGCACAACGAGCGTCTCACAGGTAGCCACCACACATTGTATGGTTCACTTATTCACGGTGCGGACCCCTGGCTCCCCTCGCCGATGCAGGAGAGCAATTATACCACTGACGCTGGGAGCTGGGGGCCCAATCCGCGACAGAATGAACTAAGTCTACACTTGCTGAATAGTGCAAAAGACCTGCAATCGCCTTCTGCTTAAAAGTTTTATATGGCACGGAAGGGCCGCGACGAGTTCAAGTGCGCAGTCGAACTTCTCGGCTCAGAATTATAGAGAATTTTGTTCAAATAGCATCTTGTAGCACAAAGTTTACTAATCCTTATGCATATTTTTCAAAATTAATCCGGCTATTCCTCATGGATTTAGGGCAAAAAGAGTGGAAAGCAAAAATTTTGAGATTTAGTCTCTTTTATTTGGAGGCTCAGAACTTTGAAATGAACGGAGATGTACGAAAGCGAAGGCATGCATAAGAAACTAGAAGAACGCTCTTTTAGATAGCATGGAAAGATTTTGAGGGAGCTGAATACACATCAAATACCAGCTCTTGGAAGAAGAGGTGAGAAAAACGTGCATTAATTATGAATCAACCTAATGCATGTGCAAAGTGCAGAGATTGAAGCTTGAGGTGTAAATCCTTTTTGAATTTAATTTGTACTAACCCCGTCTGATCGCATAGCTCTCCCTTGAAACCGCAAGTCGGCATATCTTCTCGCATTTTCAAATTGGTATTGGCGAGATTCAAAGTCTAAATCGATAATTTTACTAAAAGAAGGGATATTTGCGAGAAAATAATGCAAATAACAATGCCTTGTTTTTATCTTTTTTTGAACATACCAAACATGGTGTTTGTTTACATCCGGTAACACCTTCAAGCTTGGAAATAAAACTATAACCAGAGTCGCTAATATAACCAAATGTAAATGGGGCAATCCTTTGCGTGTTCTCGTTAAACCTTATTTCTCCAAATGGACCTGTAAAAGAAAAGGAACCAATCATTTTCAAACAAAAGCTTTCCATAGAATCATCCACGTCACTATTTTTTTAAATGGCAATGCCAAATTCCAGCTTCCTTCTTTTCTCTAAGCCAGAATTTTTGTCACCTTGTATAGAAGTAATAAGTTTTCGTAGAGTCGTTGCATTGTAATAACCAGATGTGTCTGTTTGATATTGAGAGTGAAGAATATTGGCATATACAAAAAGTGTTTCGTATAATTCAAGGGTTTGCATAAAGCCCGCCTGAAATTAGGATTTATCGTAATGTAAAGGGACTTTGATATTTTCGCAATTCGTTCTATAATGCATGTAAAGTAGCTAATAGCGAGATTATGACTTGTTTAGAAATTGAAGACTGCTCTCTGAAGGACTAGCCAATGCACTTTACGTTCGAGTCATTTCTAATTCAACATGTGAATTTGCACAACTCACGCGCTATTCCATGACTCTTTGGCTGCAGACATTCACAGAAACCGTTCTACTGGAGTAGATTTTTAAGACATCACAGATTTTATTAATTTTTCCTACCCATTCTCAGAAAGAGAGGGAAAAAGAAAACGAATGTAGATGGCAACTTGCAATCACACAATTCGTGATATGTCGCGCCTGGTGTGCAGGTACACATATCAAGTTATAAATGACTCGACTAGTATGGAGCTTAAGCGCTCACTTACCTCATCAATGCTAAGAAGGCTGTTTTATATTGAATCAGATTACAAGTTCTGTTTACAGATAAGTAGTTTCCGGAAAAATCAAAGGCTCACCGAGCTTCCAAAATTATTCTTGCTAATGAATGGTTGCACCCGTGCATTGTCAAAGGCTTCGTTGAGCAACTGAAAAATTTACTGAGGTCAAACTTTGTAATAAGAGTTTAACAATTCTTACCATATATGTTCGATTGAAAAGAGGGAGGAGGGCCGGTTTGCTTTCCCAAGGAAATGAAGGAGCTGCGAGCTAAAGCGTGATATAACAACTGGTTACCAACAGAATATGACTGATAATAATGCTTATTGAAGGTGATAAATGAAAAGATATTATATTGTCTACAATTACTTTGATAAAATGAAGAAAATTTGTTTGGTTTACAAGTTCTATCTTAAATTCAGAATTATATGCACAATCAAATTTGAATCAAAATCAAACTTTACATAAAAACCAAAAAATACAGACTATAATTTTTAAAATGGTAAATTCAATCAACACTTTCACTCCTTTTGATACTGCAGATTTTGCATTAGAAGAAAAACTGACATTATGATTTACTTTTTCTTAATTTGATTGGTAAAGTTATCTTGAATCTCACAGTATTTGACTTTTGCAACTTTATCATACATTCCAGTCAACTTGACTCAGTATCGAGAAAATTAATTTTTTAATCTCTTTCGGATTCAAGCTCCTTCAAAAATTTTCTTTCGCTATCTTTAGAAAGTTTTTCGGTTAAGTTGACTTGTTTACAAGTCAATAGCAAAAGTAAGAAGATTATCCATGCATTTAGCATGTCTTATTCTCCACACCTGATAATCCCAGAACACAATGAGTATACTATATTCTGGAGTCAAATGTCCCGTCGTATTCATCGCCTCGAGAAATAATACATAATCAGATAGCTGATTACCCAGCAAAGGCAGAATGACTAAAATGTAGAAGTTGAGGGAAAGACAAATCAACACTTATTCTCTATATGTACCTCGACAAATTTTGCTGAGATTGTCGACTGAGTCAGCTAGAAAAGAGGCATTCCAGTATTTGGACATCTCAAGATTTCCTAAGATGGTGATTCCTCGATCGGCTAGGTAGCTTGTCACATTGTATTGTCTATAACCCCTGAAAATAGTAGCGATCATGAATAGTGTTACCAGCAGCTACTCTAAATGCACTAATTTGAAACCTTTGAATTTGGTCATAAAATGAGAATCGATTGTACTGACAATGAGTCAAGTTAGCTAATCAAGACAAATTTTTTTCCACTTCTGGTAGATATGTTCTATACATAAACTCTAAGGTGGTAAATTCTTTCAGTGTAGAAGAGGATAGATAACTTCTTAACCGATACTAACTAAATTTGGGAGGTTCAAGAAATTAAGAGCATACCTTGCTTCTGCATCGGATAGTCCATAGTAGCAATCAAGACAAGTGACAACTGCTATCTGAATAAAAGATTACTTCTCTTAAAATACACACTCAAGTACTTGGGTAGGAGAAAAAGACGTAACTTTTTTTGCATTTTTGGATAGAACTAATGTTGTTCGGGAATAAGCACATACAAGGCCGAATTTCAAGTTTTTGTGCGCAAATGCGTATATGGGAGGAACTTAAGGTTGGTGGTAAAGTTTGCCACTTTATTTTCATTTTTTGTGATTTCTAACTAGAAAATATAGCAAATTTGTTATATATGAATGAGTGCGAATGTCTGCTACACGTAGGAGCAAGTAAGATATTTTTAGGACTTTTCGGGCGAGAACCGATTTTTGACGCCACGATTTGTTCATGAATTTCTTCAAATTTTCTGTTGATCATCACTTATGCTATTACTGAAATTACCTTGCAGAGCGAGCTTTTCTCTATCATATCCTACCCCTCATACCTTTTTTCCTTTTTTCTTTTACCTTGATTTGCCATGAAAAACGACATCCTTTTTTCAACCTATCGTTGTATTACGGTGTTCTTGCATTGAATCATAGAGAACTTCTTTTTGAAAATGTTGAAACAACATTCTGATTTAGATCGTAAGTTTTCTGAATCATAACAAATATTCCATTTTACACGTTAAAGATTTCGATATGAAACAAAATCGATATATCGACCGTAAAATTCGCAAATTTTAGCTAATCGAAGGTTCGACCGATCAGTATGAACTTCTTCCAGTCAAAAAAGTAAGTCGTAAAGTCACCGTTCAGAGTAAAATCAAATTTTGTCGGGCTTAACGACAATGTTTAGAAAACCGATTTTACTTATTATGCTTCTCCGCGATATGACAACATGGTTTTTTAGTTGATTATTTCCCATTCCAAGCTACGTTGAAGTAAACGTCGATTAAATGTCTAAAATTAACGAGGTACAAAAGTCCGGGTGCATGACTCAAAAAGCAACTTTATATTTGGGTTTTACCAAAGTGTGTGATAAGACAAAGTCTGTTGACGTCCCTTTGTGTATCCCATACAGGGAGACTCGGGCAAAATTGATTTTTCTAATTTTAATTTCATTTTACCTCTATAGTACAGTATGTACCATGAGTGGACCCCTCCTGAATAACGTTCATGAATCCCCCTGAATACTATTCCTCAAAAGCCTTCTTCCTCACTGAATCTAACACATCCCAACATTTTCATGAGCATAAAAAGTGAAAAAAAGTATCTATATCTACTACGAAGTGACCAATCTATTATATTAGCATGCATGTGTTGCTGAAATCATGTTGTTAAAAAATTTTTACCTAAGAAAAATTCGCAAATTCGATGCGCACATACCTTGTTCCAATCTGCTGCTTTCAAAAGAGCTAATATGTTCTCTGCAATGTTGAAGGTTGATCTCGTGATCATCTGAAGGTTTTTAAAATTTTATTTTTTTCATATTTTTCTAGCTTGTACATCATCGCAGCATAGCGACCCTACCTGAACTATATTATTGACTTCATAATCCATAGTATGATCAGCCCACGGATTGAATTGCAATATGTCAAATTCCGCAGTCAATCCAGCAACTTGAGGGACATCTAAGAGTAAATAAAATTATTCTGGAAAAAAATCATTGTTCTTTTTCTACTTTGCGTCATTACCATTATAGCAGCTGGGGCCAAAAACTGCTTGTGTATTGTCCTTGTAATAATCCTGCGTAAGCACGGCTAATGACGACAATGAGTCGATACCAGGTGTGCATTTGCTGTTATCCTCTAGGAATCTAGAAAATAAGATATAAAACAACTTTTGAAATGTTAGCTGTAGAAAGAGCTGTGTGTTAAAATATTCAGGCGGGACCTACAATTTGCAAATATCAGTGTAAATCTTTTTAACACATTCGCCTTAAATAGCCAGAACCTACGATGTACACGAAACAACTAAAGTCAAATAGTATGATTTTTGCTTTGACCACAAAATGACATTCATGAATACCCTTTCCAGTGAAACTGAAAAGATCATTGAAGGGGAAAGGGAGTGGGTAGCTGTTAGCTCTAGGAAAAAGTGATTTATACCGCTGTATCTTGCTGATTACTTGAAAAAATGGGAACGTTCATGGAATTTGTGAACACGGATTGAGAGTATTTTTGCTTGGAGGGTAAGTACCCCTCAGCAGGAAATGGAGTGGATCTGACAAGGGATGGATACTTGGCCGGTGGCGTTTCCATAGAATATGTATATTATCTTGTAGAGCATGGAACGCTGAGTTCAAAACTACTTTCGGTACCTGCAAAGCGCTTCTGGGAGGGGAGTTAAGGAAGTTTTTTGGTGCAAAAAATTTGAAAGCACCGTTACAATAAAATCATTCGGAACCTTAGTCCGTGAGCTCAGATGGGGCCACGATTACTATGTACCAAGGCTTTTTTATGAAATAAAGGGCTTTAACCTAATAAACTCATCATGTCAGTCGTTACTCCTTTCAAGCGCCGAAAAGACCCAACACCTACTTTTCACAGCCAAATCATTGAATTTCCACCTCAAAAAATTCCCAGAACTCCCCTCCCAGAAAAGCTTTGCAGATACCGAAAGCAGATCTGGAATCAGTGTTCAATGTTCTATAAGATAATGTACATCTCATATGGAAACGCCACTTTGACCAAGCATCCCTTCCTTGTTTCCTTGTGAGAAAAACGACTGTGTTTTTCACTCGCTCCTTTCAATGGCGGTTCGAAGATTTTTTTCTGGGGGAGGGGGTAAGACAAATCCAGGAGTCCTCTTACAGCATTTGAATAATTCTAGAAAGTAATCTTGATTATTTACAAGTGGAACCATCCTGGTTTTCTTCCAGGCGTCGCAACATTACTTAGAATCGATAAAAAAATAGAATGATCAGCGCAATTTAGGGCTTACTAAAATACGAAAAAATAAACTGTACTGCCTTAAAAAAGCGCTAAGTGTAAATAGATGATATCTAATTGTATCTCTGGACATTTTTGGAATTGCTGTACACAAAACACACATTTGAGTTGGAGAACGTTTGTAATTTTTAGTAAATGTTAGTTTCTAACAAAGGCTTTATTACATTTGAAGAAAAAATCTTCATAATTTTCCTGGAATTTTCAGCTTCTTCAGCTGCTGGATTTTCAGCTTCAGCTTTTTCAAATCTAGCAGAGGGTTGTAGCTTCTCTATCTGTACATATCCTACATGACAAATCAACTTTTTGATTTTCTAAAAAAATTTCTATGTCTAATGAACTTGATTTTAAATAGCCTACACTTCGAAGATGCTTTCGTATTAGCAGTGATACTCCCCGGGATTCGTAAATATATTTGGATTATAATCCAAAAAGAAGAGAAGGAAAATGAAGTGAAGAAGGATAGGAAAAAAAGATGTTGAAGTGCCGTTAAAATTGTCTTCATGTTTGCCATAACTCATGTCTCCGAAAGTGAATTGTTGCCAATGGGTAGGCAGTTTGTTTCTTACTTGTGTATGCCTTTGCGGAACTTTGCGGAAGCTTTCAGTCTTTTCTAGGAAAGACGAGAAAAGTGTGAAAAACTGAATTAATTTAATAAATGCTACACCAGATTTTCGATAGATTTTTGAGACGCAATTTCCAAAATTTTGCAAAAACAAAATGCCTCCATTTCCCTGCATCAATTCGTCATCAAGAAAGTAATCTGCTCAAATCTTGACAGCTAGATTCTCCTCAAATAATTTTCTTCAACTACAATATGCATTCCTACAAAAATTTATAGGTAATGTTCCTACAAACTTCAAAAATGGCCGAAATCAATTTTTGCAAACTTAACAAACATTCAAGAGAATTGTCCAGTGAAGAAGACTTACTCAAAAGTGAATTCCGGAGCTATAGCCGAAGCTTTGATGTCTCGTCGAGCAGCTTCGAGTACGGACTGTGCGAAGGTGTGATCGGGATCGCTTAACACCGATATTTTAATGTCCACAGCATCCGAAAGCTGTCCAGTTATAGCCAGGAATACCATCAGTAGTCGGAATAAAGATCGCCGGATCGTCGAGTTTTTATCCATAGGGTCTCGCACATGGGCTCATACGTTGTGATTTAGAACGCTCGGTGAACAGAAGAGAAGAAGGCACAGATTACCCACAACTCTATACACAGAGACACATCTAATGAACACCCTTCACATGATATTCGCCATTAGTCTGTCACCTCCTCTTAGGTAATTCTACCTCACTGTGATGAGCATTCTCAGCTTAAGTGATGCCGGTGGCCATGACAACATTATCAATAGGTTTTTTGTTTGAACATTTTGCGCTTATGAGATGGCAGATGCTAAGCAATGCATCCGAATCAATTCTTTCACTATAAGCTATTACAGTTGAGCAATTTTCGAAACTGCTCTCACTCAGTTTCATCCGATTCACTTTCGGAGGGACAATTTTTAGAAAAAAGGACACATTGTGCTTTGGCAACAATATAGTTACTAGGTCTCCCAAAATTCGCTAATATCTCCCCTCCTAAGATGTCGTTTACCTAACATTAGATACAGTCCTGTAGGGCTGGCTTTAGCTTTCGTGGGTAGACGACTATATGCCGCTGAAAGTGGGAGGGTCCCGCGCGGACAATGCAGCAGATCAGCCTGTGCATCGATTGAAATGTATAGTCGTTGCAGATGTCGGCGGAACTTCCCACTTTCGGCGACATACAGTCCCCTACCCGATGTTCATTACGGTAGGGTTACGGTAGAAATTTCCGGCATTTGGCGTGACTGTGAAAAAGCTGCTGTTTCAAACTTTTCAAAAAAACTTAGAACTTGTGTAACAGGGTTTTCACGGACGCGAGATTCAATACTCAACTTTGTACAAGATTTGAAGCTCTCTAAACGATATGACCACATTTTCAAAAACATCAAAAAACGGCTGCTACCGCTTGCCTAGCGTAACATTTCAAAGAAGCGTTGCAACTTTAATTAGCCTAATGTAAGAATTCCAGGTCGTTTTCTTCCCTTTCTGGGGCAAAATATGAAATTCCATTCTCTCTTCAAACTTCTTACTGTAATCCTACAGTAATGAAGAGCGATAGGTGTTTCGCTTCCTACTGCAAATCTTGGATACATACTTTTGGGACACTAAGAATAGGTTGAACTGAGTGTTGTAACAAAAAAAATCTGCAAAAAGGTTCCAAAATTCAAAACTCAAATGAGCGTTCCACCTCGAAAATTTTATTCCACATACGAGATACAGTGACCGCCAAAAAGTTGCGGACAAGCCCCCTTCCTTTCTTCATCGCTTATTTCCGGATCGAAAACAAAGATGAAAATGATTGAATTGCATGAGATGATAGAGCTTTTCAAGAGCTACAACACATACATTGCGTTTTCTGGAAAATGTGTATTCTAAAAATCTTAAAAATCTCCAAAAAAAAGCCCAAAAATGGCCGCGTCATGTCGTGAGAATATTCTTCGAACGCGAAGATTTTCCTTTAGGTCTTTGTTTAAAACAAAAACAGAAGTTTTCCGGACAAATAAGCATACTATTTTGTAGAGCTCATCGAGAACAACAATCAGGGAGTGGTTACTTCCAAAAAAAACCCAAGCTTGAATATTATTTTGCTTCTTTTCAAAAACAACTTCTAATTAGCTCTTTGAAGCCAAATTTCTTCGCATGCAAACCTATTCAAAACATCCTAACAAAGCTGTTCAGATATAATGGATGATTCTTGCCATCCTCTATGCAACGGACGTGTGCTGGTGCGTTTCTTTGCTGAAAATGGCTCTTGACAGTGCGTGCACATGACCGACCTGCACCTCATCACTGACTTTCACCGCTTTGCAGGCTTGAAGCTCGGCCGGCAGTTATTCTACGAGCCTGCGCATAGGCTCATTCGAAAGAGCGTGAATTCCTCGACACGATGCTATGCTGCATTAAGAATTTATTGCTTCTTGAGCAGCAGTATTACTAAAGCCTGGTAGAGGCCAGTCATTTTGGAGAAGCAGCACTAGAAAATACTTCGGTAAAATCGCTATCTCTCTCTATTTTTTTTATTCCGAATATTATCGTTTAAAAAAATTATTTTGTTATTAGGTTGGTGCAAAAGTAATGCGCGTTTGCGAGTTCTCACTTTGACGTGCTATAACTTTCTAAAAAAATCCATATTTTTCAATGCGGTAAAAAAACATTGGAGGCACCAACCAAACCTTCTCAGTACAACGCACATCCCCCTATACTCATATCGCCAACCGGCAGAAAAATATGGATTGATAAGCAGAAAAGTTTTTTTTTCTGAAATTTCGTCTTTAACTGATCACAACTTTCTTCATTTGTTGATATAGGTAAGTAACCTATATTGTAGCCAGAAGCCAGTAGTACAAAAAAAAGTTGAAAAGGGCTCAAACAAAGAGGATTTGCGAATAGGAAAAAACTAAAATCCAGAATTGCCCGCTTTTTGGACATCTTTTCGCAGGCCTTAAAATCTCAAAATTGGAAGTTTTTTCTTGATTTTCTGCGTAATGAACAGCTAGACAATTCTGTAAAAAATGTAAGTAGAAGGCCCACCCTTACGCTTACAGAAATGAGCAAAGCTTTGGTGATTGCCCTCTTCAAAGGAAATTCATGGTTCACAGAATGATCAAAACAAGTGCCCATGCTGAGGCGCCGAAATCTCAGTCCATATGATTTCTGAGAAAATACTAGAATGTGCATAGTGTAGACAATTTCCATTAGATACAGTAGCTAGAGTTTCAAAAGTTCGCCTTTATTTGGGCTTGATTTCTGGCCAGAAAAGTAAATGCAACGAAATTCTGGTTTCGAGTGCAGTTGTGTGAACTCTATTATTTTTTGAGTAATGAAGCTAGAAGACCGTTTTAATCACCATTGGATGGAGGATGAAAGGAGCTTTTTGAACATTTGCTAAGTTTTCTTCCAAAGAAGAAAGTTTGAGGGGAAAAGTTGTCCCAAAACAAAAGCTAGAAAAACGCGCATTACTTTTGCACCAACCTAATATTTCCGAGTTTTCTTAAATAAAGTAAGCTTTTTGAAAACTAGAGGTTGTGTCTATTGAAAAAGGATCAGTACCCATTTAGGGACTGATCAAAAAAAATTGAAAAAAAAAACTTCAAAGACATCCTGACACTACTACCTAGTTGACTGCATTTTTCGCACATTTATTCCCGTTTCAACACGCCTATATAAGCGAGCTAAAATCAGACACATCGATTGTTCGGTAGTTGATCCTGCGATGGATGTGAGAACAAGATTGACTCAGTAAGATTCATTCCTGTTAATGAAAACAGTTAAAATCTTATTCTAGGCTGCTGACTCTAGGTCCCTCGTTTTATTCTCATTTTTAGTCCGAATTTGCTGCAGCTAAGACATATTTTATCCTTCATACAAGATACTATATGAAGTTTCTAATAAATCAACGAAGAAATAAAATCGAAAATTACAGCTTTTTGAGACATTCGAGCAGGACATATTAGTAGGAGCAAGTCACAAAAAATCAGAAGTTGCTGGATCTTTCAGTATTTTTATCGACCACAGTAATACAATCAGACAACAATAATTTTTTCTTTGAAAGCTTTTGAAAGTGCATAGTTTTTCCCCCTTTGAGCTGTGACTTACCAAACCTATGGATTTTCAAAAAAAATTTGAGGCATTACTTGTTTTCGAACTGATTTCCAATCGACATTTCCCAAACGATTAAATTATAACACGAATTTCAAGCGCATCAGTTGCCAGGAAAAAAGTTTAGCAGATTGTACTAAATGCAAAGCAATTTCAATATACTTCTGGAATGACACATTTATTGCGAACTATTTAAAACTTGAACTTATTTATCTAAATGCGCGATGCCTTAGCTGCAGCAAATCCGGACCAAAACTGAGGATAAAACGAGGGACCTAGAGTGCAGCAGCCTAGAATAAGATTTTACCTGTTTTCAGTAACAGGAATGGATCTTACTGAGTCAATCTTGTCCTCACACCCATCGCAGGATCACGCACATTGTACCAATCAATCGATGTGTCTGATTTTAGCTCGCTTATATAGGCGTGTTGAAACGGGAATAAATGTGCGAAAAATGCAGTCAACTAGGCAGTAGTGTCAGGTTGTCTTTGAAGTTTTTTTTTCAATTTTTTTTGATCAGTCCCTAAATGGGTACTGATTATTTCAGCATGACTATTATAGCTATGTCTATTTTTTAATAGACACAACCCCTAGTTTTCAAAAAGCTTACTTTGTTTTAGAAAACTCGGAAATATTAGGTTGGTGCAAAAGTAATGCGCGTTTTTCTAGCTTTTGTTTTGGGACAACTTTTCTCCTCAAACTTTCTTCTTTGGAAGAAAACTTAGCAACTGTTCAAAAAGCTACTTTCATCCTCTATCCAATGGTGATTGAAACGGTCTTCTAGCTTCATTAGTTAAAAATTAATAGAGTTTCACATAACGCAGTCGAAACCAGAATTTCATTGCATTTACTTTTCTGGCCAGAAATCAAGCCCATATGAAGACAAACTTTTAAAACTCTAGCTACTGTATTTGATGGAAAAGGCATTCTTTTGAAAATTTAACTACTGTGTGTAGTAGAAATTTTCTACTTTGTGCCGCTTTGCTGTTTTCTCAGAAATTACCTAGACTGAGATTTCAGCGCCTCAGCATGGTCACTCGTTTTGATCATTTTGTGAACCATGAATTTCCTTTGAAGAGGGCAATAGCCAAGGCTTCGCTCACTTCTGTAAGCGTAAGAGTGGGCCTTCTACTTACAGTTTTTCCTAATTGTGTAGCTGTTCATTACGCAGAAAATCAAAACAAACTTCATATTTTGAGATTTTTAGGCCTGCAGAAAAATGTCCAAAAAGACAATTTTGGGTTTTGATTTCTTTTCGCAAATACTCTTTGTATAAGCCCTTTTCAACTTTTTTTGTACTACTGGCTTCCGGCTACAATGTAGGCTACTTATCTATATCAACAAATGGAGAAAGTTGTGATCGGTTAAAGATGAAAATGTAGATTTTTTAGAAAATTAT